CCCCCTAGCAAGCCTTTCAGTCTGTTGCACATCAACTTTTAGCATGCAGCAATGATGACCTGAGGAGAGGGGGAAAAGAGTGAGGAGAGGAGGAAATGCCATTAAAGGTGGGGAATGGGGAAATAAAAGAGAGATGAGAAATTAAAACAAGAGCAAGGAAGCAGAAGGAGGAGAGGTTAGGTTAGGATAAGACTGTGGGGACACTGGACTGATGTCAAGCTTGAATAGCAGACACATCACTGAGGAAAAACAAAATCCTAGAGGAGGTTTTGTGTGGACAGGAACTTTGTACCATTTTGTTTGCCAGATCCTGTGAGACAAATGTGCAGTGGTAGAAGTCAGCTTTGAGCCTGCTATACAGACTTGTGTGGAACAGAGCCTGATTCCCAGCAGGTGTTGTAGCGAGAACGGGGCACGGAGGGTCGTTCAAGCCTCCTACACACTGAATGTCATCCGAAATTTGGGTTCTGCTCTACACATACACATGCACAAAGACACACAGACAAATGTATTTATGGAGTCTGTATTCTCCTGGGGAGAGATAAGAGCCTGTTTTTACAGAGAACAGAAGTACAGCCAGAACTGTGCTCAGCTGAATGCAAGGAAGCAAAATCTGATCAGATTCACTGGTTCTAATTTATTTGCACATAAATGCAATGTTCCTTTTAATTTGTATTGTGTGTATACAGTACCATGTAATAATAAAAACCTTTCTAAGCATCAAAAGTCCACAATACTACTGCACTGAAACATACTGAGAAAACCAATGAGGACGTTAACTCTAGAAATAATGAAAAGAGAAAGCAGCAGACAGTGCACTGTAGTAATTAATGAGTGTACTATAAATGCTCATCACTCCTCTCTTTCAGACTGGTCAGGCGTTGAGCTCAGGCTCAATTCTAAGGAGACTGGTCAGATGCTCATCAGCACAGAGGTCAAGTTTTACAACTGCAGCATCCATCAGCTGTGAGTATCTCTCACTCAGCCCATTCATTCTCTCTTCATTTGCACTAACAGTGTTCCAGACCTGCTGGCCAAAACCACTGGATCAATGCTCAGGGAGTTAGTTACAATTTGTCCTTAACCTTAGTTAGCCCATGTCTCCTAAAATATCCCTTGTAAAGACTAATGAAATGTGATCTTTGGCTTCCCCCTTAGCACTGTAACAGCATGTTTCTCTGTTGCTGCGTTAATGAAGCCTTCTCAAACATGTTGCAGTGCATAAACACACTGCTTTCCACCTAACAGGCAGGTATTTTGTGCCATGTCTCTGCCTGATTGAGTGATGTGGAATTGAATCCCTGGATTGGAGATCTGTTAGCAGTGCCTTTGAAAATGCTTGCTCTATTCCACTGAGGTAGATTCTGTTTGTGAGAGATCCAGAGGCCTTGCTGACTAAAGAGCATCACTCAGTGGAGAGCAGGGTGGTAAGGATATCACAGCAGTGGCGCTAGCAGAGGTGCAGGAATATTGTCCTTTCACTATCCCCTCGACATTAAAACAAAATGTTGCAGCTGCTGTCTTGTTTGCCAGATAAAAGCAGGCAAAGTTATTCTGTCTCTCTCTCTCCATCTGTCTTGCTCTCTCTCTCTCTCACACACAAACACACATACACACACACTGCCTTGTAGCTTCACATGGCTGCCTGAGAACCCTGAGTAGCACAGAAAGCAATTACCAGCTCTCACATCAGCTCAGCTAATCAGCGACAACAAACATACTTGCACACAAAGCCACACACATTGAAACACACAAAGAAGGATGCATACACTTGATAAGGGCACACTCCCTCCCTCTGATGCCACTTGTACTCGCTCTATCTCTCACTCTTATACATATCCTGTGCACACTATTTGACTTAAGGTGAATCAGTGAAGTAGTGTGCTTGCCAGAGATCCCTGCCATGCTTTTGCACCAATGAATATTTTACAGTGAGCAACTATGCATAACTCAACCTCAATTCAGAGAGAGAAAGTGAGAGGGAGAGCCAAGTGAGACTATATATGAGACTATAGTATCGTGTCTTGTTGCCTCCACAGGCTGTCAGTTGTCTCTGATCATTGCATCTGCTCATCTCTCCATCCATACGTAGTGTTTACAGGAATACTATACGGTATGATTCTACTCTGTCAATGTATTTTAGGGTTACTTTTGGATAGTTGTTTTAAAAACCTACCATTACTGTATAATGAACAACGTGCAATGTGTTATTATTCAGCAAATTAAACTACCAAACAGTATGTAAACTAGTTGAAACTAGGTGATTACTGTACATGGGAGTGCATTAGTAAAAATACTCCAGTTGTATCATATGTTATAATATACCATTGACCAGGGCCGTTCTGCTGCAGCACAGTAGGCTGTGATGCTGTAAGTGAATCTTTTTTATTTAAAGTATGTACCTGAAATCAAAGGATCTTGTTAAGTATGTACTCACTCAGTGACACACACATTTACATATTGTACATGCAAAAATGCTCACACACAAACACACACACACACCTAACAGCTGGTAATTACAGTGACACTCCAACAATGCAGGGCTAATGGTAATTGCAGGATCAAGCTGTGCCAGTGTCTTATTTGTCCTCATTACTCAACGTTCCTCCACTCTATCTCTCTCTCTCTTTTTCCAGTTATGAGGGTTAATATGCATCCTCCTGTACACACATGACATGCAGTATTAATATATGACAGTGGAAAATGTATGCAGGGAGAGTTTGGCCCAGGAGCTATTGGGTTCTGTGCCGACCACAAGGGCACAACAACAACAGCAGGTGTCACTTGGGATCTGAACTCATTTCCTCCATGGCACCTGCCCACTCTGGCAAAGTCAATGCCCCTCCTTGACTGTACTGTTTTTCCTGACTCTCTCACACTGTGTGTGTGTGTGTATCCATGCAGGTGCCTGTCGTGTGTGAACAGTGCTTTCCGCTGCCACTGGTGCAAATACCGCAACTTGTGCACCCATGACCCCTCCAGCTGTTCTTTCCAGGAGGGACGAGTGAACACTTCTGAGGTTGGTGGAACAGACACATGCACAAACACACACCCAGGCATATAAGCAATTTTATTGGAACAATTTTCTCTTTCTTCCCCATGTTTCCCTGTTCTTCCCCCCTCTCTTCCAATCTCTCCGGCACATTCCTTCTCCTCCGTCTGCCTGTATCCTGCTCTGTGTCTGCCTCAGGGCACATCTTCACAAAGACAGCCATCTAAGCTCTTCTGAATTGGCATTTTTCATTTAGAGCTCTTGTCTTCTGCTGTAGCAATTAACAGTCTATTATCTCTGGAGTTACTGAGCTTAGCGTGTCTTAACAATGACACAGGATCTCTCTGGCCAAATCAATCATGTGTGGTAGCTACAAACAGCATTTCCACATCCTTTTACTGAAGGACAACAAAGGGTGTTAACTGCTGTGCTGAGTGTTACATTACAGTGTAGCTGGTGTGACCACAGTGGGCATCACTCCTGCAGTCTTTCAATTCATGCATCTTTTTTTTTCTGAAACTCACATGCACAGCTTTACCAATGACATCAGATGCTTTACTTCCTGTTTGTATTATGACTAAAGATAGGCCTCTTACTTTCTATAAGCACAGATGTTTCCATATCATGATACTGCAAGACAAACCTGTATGAGAATGGTAAATGGTCTTAAACGTGTACAGCACCTTTCTATGCTTTACAGCACACTCAAAGCACTTTCACATTATTCGGCCATTCACACTCCCAAACACACACACATTCACATCACCGGGAGCAACTGGGGGTTCAGTGTCTTGCTCAAGGACACTTCAACATGTTGACTGGACAAACCGGGAATCGAACTGCTAATCCTCCAGTTAGGAAACGACCCGCGTTACCTCCTGAACCACAGCCACCCACAAGAAGCTCATAGTTTATGGATGTGAAAGGCTGAAGGTGACTAACAAACCAAGGCTTCCTTGTGTCATGCTGTGCTGATGGTTGTCTTGTTGCAAATGTTCCTTTCAGATTATACTGCCAATAACACTGACTTCTAAATTTCTGCCTCCTCCTGTAACACACTGAGCACTTATTTAATCATTCTCAGTCTAGGCCAATTTCGTCAGTTTCAAAATACCAGTGTTGATAATGAGTTGTTTAACACTCAGATTAGAGCCCAGAGTTGAATTTCCACTTCAGCTGCACTAATCATACTTTTTATTATTCATATTGTTAATATCGATCCCAAGCTGAAGCTGTGGTTCCTCTCGTCATGCCGGTAACCTAAGTGCCAAAAAGCGGTGTCAGCTGTGTTGGCATTAACACATGTGGTCTACCCTGCACTTGTTTCCTCCAGGACTGTCCCCAGCTGGTGCGCTCGGAGGAGATTCTGATCCCAGCAGGAGAAGTGAAGCCCATCACCCTAAAGGCCAGGAACTTGCCACAGCCCCAGTCTGGCCAGAGAGGCTACGAGTGTGTCCTCCACATCCAGGGGGTCAGCCACCGAGTCACTGCCCTCCGTTTCAACAGCTCTAGCGTGCAGTGCCAGAATAGTTCGGTAGGTCAGGTGATGCTTGCCCGTATTGTCAGATTAGGTGCAACCGGTGATGCATGGTCTGTTTGTGTGTCTGATTTTCTTTTCCTTTTACTTTGTTTTTATTTGACTGCATATACTGTACATTGGTAATTACACTACCATCTATAGAGGATGAGTGTGATACCACATTGCCACAGTGTTTGTGTTTGTGTGTTTGAGTATGTATGTGTGGAGACACAGTAGATACAGCCTAGGTAATTACACTGAAGAAAACTGCAGCATATGTAGCTTTGCCCTCCAGTCAAGCATGGGCCGACTTTGGCAGTATATTCCCAGTGGAACCACATGTGTGCTGTACACATTTTGCTCTCTTGCTCTCTCTCTCATACACTCTCAGTCATTCACACACACTTGCACAATGAAAGTCAAGCTGGAATTAAAGGCACAGGAGGCAGTTAAAGACAGCATCTCTAAAAGCCAGAAGGGAAGCTCACTTCTGCCCACTTCATGTGATTTCTCACTTTGTCAGCTCATGACGATGATGTAAGTTTAGGTTAACCACGGAAGGACGTGGCGGTGCATCGACAAGGACCTGTGAGGATTCAAATTCCCAAACCTCCCACTGAAATGCACCTCTCTTTTTGTTTCTTTTCGGCTTTTATTCCATGTATTTATATCTTTTCTCCTTTCTTCCCATCCTTGACCTCTAGTATCTGTATGAAGGAATGAAAATCAGTGAGCTGCCTGTGGATTTCTCAGTGGTGTGGAACGGCAACTTCATTATTGATAACCCAGAGAATATCCAAGGTAAGAACAAAAGATGCTGCTGATGACGCGTGCTGACAAACAGGAACAAACAAATCTCTCTCTCTCTGCATTACAATAAGCAGAAATCAAGAAAGTACATATCTATTCATATGGCGTATTAATCATATGTGTAAATTAAAATAGAAAAGGTAGAAGAAACAGCCTGTCGAGATGTTTTACTCGCAGCCGTCTGTTTTCCTTACAAAACAAATGCTCTCCAAATACTTGTGTAGATTGTTCAGTTATTGTGTGCTGTACTCTGTGTCCATGCTGCTTCCCACATCCCACAGTGCACCTGTACAAGTGTGCAGCCCAGCGGGACAGCTGCGGCATGTGTCTGAAGGCAGAGAGGAAGTTCCAGTGTGGCTGGTGCAGCGGAGAAGGAAGGTGTACTCTGCGGCACCACTGTCCTCCCATCAACCCTTACACCACCCGCTGGCTGAACCTGTCCAGCAAGAATGTCAAGTGTACCAACCCACGCATCACTGAGGTCAGTACCCATAATCCTCTGTCCATCCGTCACTGACTGCTCCCACACATCTAGCTCCAATCAGTGTGCTACAGCTGACCCTGTAGCACTATGCTTAAAATTCAGAAGATGGCAAAACCAGCTCTGCATTAATTTAGATGTATCATATACTTCAGACACACACAGACTTCTCCTCTTCATCAGCGGTGAAGTCGTCATTCCTTTGTGCTGCCCCCTACCCCCTTCGTCTCTCAGTGATTACAATTACTTTAAGAAGCAGACATCCCCCTGGTGGGTTGAATTTATTAATAAATTTGGTTTTGATTGTATGCACCAAAGCCCCCATGATGAGTTGATTTGTATACATACTAGCACATTAGTAGATGTGCCTACCACAAGATAGGCCTTTTGAATAATTAATGTTTCTATTAAGTTCCATGGTGCCTCCCACCATGGGCCATTAATATTGAAGGGATGTAAGCCCCTGCTAACAGCAGAGGGAACGACATCAAATGAAGCTGCGAATTGGATGGGCATATGAAAGGTGTCTCCTCAGTAGGCTTTGACTGTGGCTTCTGTGTGGGGTTACAGTATAGCAAAGAGGCTTCCCTGTCTCCTGGTGACATGAATATAAACATCTAGCTATTGCCTTAGGAAAGAAGGAAATGTAAGATTTCTCTCTTTCTCTCTCCCCCTCACATAGTGCAGGCAAACTTGTTGATATTTTGAACATCATAGTCATGGTGGACCTGTCAGTAGGTATCATAGTAAAACTGAATTCCCCTCACTGAGAGAGCTACTGTACAGGTTGTGTGCTACACTTCATTAAACCAGTCAATAGAAGAAAGAGCAAAATGTTCTAATGAGAATCTTCAGCCAGGCAACATGCACACAAACCGAGCACATGTCCACCTTGGCCTGTTCAAGCACTTAAGACTAAGGAGAAGTCATCCTCAAATACACCCCTTATCCTGTCATCTTGTCTCTTGTTTTCTCATCTTATATGCACTAAAAAGTCTTTTTCATCACAACCCGTATCTCTCAGCAGGCTACAAGCTATTTAAGACCCCATAGAGTATTTAGGATGTAGTTTGTTCTGGAGCAAGTGATCAGTGGAGTTTTATCAAGCCCATTAAATGCAACTCACAATTAAATGTGACATGCTCAAATTAGTCTGAGCAGAGTCCAAAGACAAAGAGATTAGCTGTGAGCTCCTAAATTGTATCAAGGGCTATTTAATTTCAAAAGCATAAGACCCAGCGATGGCAAAAGTGGAAATGCATCTACTGTACAGTCATGTAGTCTGATTCTGGGGGAACCTCTGTTGAAATGAAATTACATATGTTAAAGAATGAGAATAAAAGATCCATCCTTCCATTATGTATACCAGTTATTCCTGAATTCAACTCAAGTGTTTATTGTCATATGCACAGTGAGGAAACGTGTTTCCCTATACAATGAAATTCTTATTTTGCCGTCCACATGAATGCCACACAATATAAATGAATAGATACGTAGGTAACACAAACTCTAAGGTGCTTGAAAAAAGCATAATGGAAAATACAACAGGAACACAATGTAGTGAAGAGGGAATGTATGCTACATGGGAGCTGTGTGTGCAAATAGTCAGCAGTGAGTGCACTTAAATATTCCTATGGGCAATTTAGAGTCACCAGTCAATCTAAGCTGCATGTCTTTGAACTATGGGAGGAAGCCAGAGTACCCAGAGAGAACCCACACAGGTACAGGGAGAACATGCAAGCTCCACACAGAAAAGCTCCGGGTCAGCCTGGGTCCAAACCCGGAACCTTCTTGCTATGAGGTAGCAGCGCTAACCACCACACTGCTGTGCCCCAGAGTTAAAAAAATATAAAGTAAAATTGCTGATATTGTTTATCTTAGCAGTAAATGGGATGATTAACCATTATTACTGCTCAATTGTCCTGGAGAGTACCACTGAGCTCAGTCAGCTACTCTACTTACAGTGACATGCTAAGCTTGCATAGCCTGAGGGCAGCAGGGGCGGTATATTGCTCTCCACTGTATGTGCTGAGTTTAGCCTTGGCTGCATCAGCACAACTTTCCCCACCATAACTTCAGCTAAATAAGATGGTGCCAACAGAGAGAGACATCCCCAGGCTGTTCACGTTGATGGCCATCTTTCTCTGTCTCTAGCAGATTATTATTATTTCTGGAAGTTTCTTTCTCCTGGATTAGAAAGCCTCTCTTCTCTATTTAGGTCATCTCACCCTTGTTTAGTCTTTCTGTGGTTGCTGCCAAATCCTGAAGAAACATGTGATGGAAAGGGATCAATACTCAGGTCCCCTGAGCTGGAGAGAAATAGAGTCTAAGAGTGGGAGTGGGGAAGGCGCCGTGCGAGCTGACAGGCTGTTTGCTGGGAATTACCTTCTATTGACAGTGTGGCCGTGCCAGGTGACCAGCAGCACTGCTCCTAAAAGGCTTGCACAGGGGGCATGTCATGGCAGCACTGGGTGAGAACAGGGGAGCAGGGTGTGCGTGCACATCCAGTGAGGCTTCCTCTTCCTCTTCCCTCTGAAAGTTGGTGCAGAAAAACAAACAAGCTGGTGCTCAGAGGAGGGTGTGCCACGTATCCTGAGGGAGATGAGATGATAAAAGACAGAAAGCAAAAGAAGGAAAAGAGCTGCAAAAAGTATGTCTCAGTTAAATATAAAGAGCTACTCCACCCATCTTAATATTATCTACAGTCCATGACTGCAGTAGGTCGACTCTGGTCTATAAAAAGGTCATTTAGATCTGGTTTTCAAGCAGTCAAATCACGGTCTCATGTAGAGGGAGACTCCTTTATAGATGTAGTTATTTGTGTACAAAAGGCAGACAGAGACAGTCTCTCCTGACTCCCAGCCTAAAGACACTGGTGGCGTGAGCCTTTGAAGTTGTGGTTTTTCTTTAATCCGCTGATGAATCAAGGCTCTGTCTGCCAGTGGGGAACTCAGTCAGATGGGTTTCATGCATGGATTAGACTGTCTTCCTGTGCTCCGGACATCGTGGGAAGGGCTTCATTTCCGCCTCAAGGGTGGAAGGAAGAGGTCTCCCAAGCTTTTAGCAGGTCCATCTGTGATACAGCATCACCGCCCTGTCACCATCCCCGCCTCACCTGTCATCCATCAGGGCTGATAGGACTGAATAGAGTGGCATCCACATTCCTTCTGCTGCTCATCCCATTTTCCCTGCTCTCTTTTTTTTTTTTTACACTTTTCTCTCTCCCATCCCCTCTCCCCCCTCCCCTCTCCTTCTCTCCTTCTCTCAAGCCCCTTACATTGCTTACGTAACCATCACCAAGTCTACTCGAATAACTGCTGCCATTGCCTGACATGGTTATATTTAGCTATTATGTTTCCCCTCTTTGTACCCTGCATGCCCAAGCAGTGGTAAAAGATTCATGTATTCAGCCCCTTCAGGCGGTGCAGTGACACACTTACTTTACATCCAGAGCAATTAATGTCCACTCAATCTAGATTACAATCCCGGCATCCCACGGGGAAGCTGCAATGCCCTAGTGGGTGTCAGAATAGGGAGGGGACCTCTCCAAGGGTCGCCATCATTTGGCACCTCATGGCTTGGTAAGCGGCCACACCTGACTGCTGGTTCTTTCCTTCTGTTTGCATGGCCAGTAATAGCATATTGATTGTTTACATAGCACTAGCAGTTCCACACAGCAAAGTGACAGTCATCTCCTCCCCACTGCCCTCCTCTTTCTTAGTCTCCTCTGTCTCCTTCTACTGCACTGTCTACCAAACAGTATTGTCTGCTCTCTTGGTTTTTCTTTAGCTTCCTCTTCATTTTTCTCTCTTTCTGTGTTTACTCATTTTTTCTTTCTCCTCCTGCTTTTCTCCTCTCTTGTTTAAAGGGCTGGATGATGGCCAGGTCAGAGCCTCATCAGGGCTAGAAGGCATTGTGCCATCCTGTGCTAAGGTCACGCTGGGCAACCATATTGTGTTTTATGAGTAGGTGATCTGCACTAAGCATTAATATGGCCCCTCGTTAGATTCATCATCCATGGCAACAACAGTAGTTCTGTGTAGGAGGCTTTTCACAATGTTAATAATCCATCCCTTTTTTTTTTAATTCTGATGTTTCTTTTATTGGACTTACTGCTCTGTTGTATAATCTAGATGAAGATTTTATAGAAAACAAAGAAGTTTAAATGCGTGAGCTTGTGTCATTGTGTGTGTATAGATGTGATGCTATATTTAGAAAGAATGTATGTGCCATTAGGTACTGCTGTTTTGAGCATGTTCTTGGCACAGTGACTCATGGTATGTTCTGACATTTTGTGGATGCAGGCAAGGGCAGTTAATTGCTTTTACAGCCACCTGGACCAAAAGAGCATATTTACCCTTGAGCATCGATGGAAGCCAGTGCCCCTTTACTGTATGATTTATATAAGACAAGTTCATAACTGGTGAGGAAAACATTCTTCACAACACATTTATAAGTGTCTCCCTGACTTTGGCCATTTATGCCCTGTAGGTGACACCAGTTGCTGGACCCCCTGAGGGAGGCACACGGGTGACCATCCATGGCACGAACCTCGGTCTGGCCTTCTCAGACATGGTGGGAAATGTGGAGGTGGCAGGGGTGAGGTGTACTCCTGTAGAGGACGGCTACATCATCGCTGAACAGTAAGTCACACAAACAGGATGAATATTTTACAAGTATTGTTCTTAGTCATCTGCTAGTTGAAAAGCAAAATGCAGTTACTGCTGATTTATAATTTTTCCTTCAAGATAACTGAGTGCAGTTGGGAAACAAAACATCTTGCTACCAAATAGGTGCTATAAGATAATAAACATGCAACAAATCAGTTGCAGGGCTTTGGTAGACTACGTATGGGGTGTAACAGCTAACAAACTCTGATCCAGATGTATGTGTTGTGTCAAAAAGCTGCTTTCCCTCCATCTCTGCCTTAATGAAGACTGGAGCAGGTCCAGCCAGTCTGGCCCTGACTGTGCTCTTCTCCCCTTGCAACACATCAGCCCAGTTCTCTCTCTGTAGCACATCTAGTCAGCAACAATCCCATAACAGCTGTGTGTGTTTACTTCTGTTTACCTGCCTAATTGTCCCGTGCTGTGCATACATCATGTTTAAGCCTGTCCCATTCACCCTGAACTAATGAAACATGGCCCATGCTTCACAACTTGCCCATCCTCTCTCTTGGCTCGATATGCAGATGTTTAAAACCCAGTTGTTTAACCTCTCAGGTGATCCATACCCTGCAAGGGAAAGGCAACAGTGTACACACAGGTAGCTAAGATCCATCCCATCCATCTATTATTTATACCACCTATCCTGAAGAGGGTCGTGGGGCGGCTGGAGCGAATCCCAGCTGACATTGGGGGCGAGGCGGAGTCTAAAATGTTTCACCCTAAATATATATTCACACATTAGATTGGGGTTAGGCCAGATTGCCTTTAGATATTGAGCTTTGTTAGTGGCACAAAGTTGTTTATGGAAATAAAACCCCAATAATACTTGAAGGGTGCTATGCAGCAATAAATAAATACAGAACAAAGTAGTCATTTTGTAAATACTATAGGTTTAATGATTACACCATGGAAAATCAACATGTTATAAAAAATATAAATGAGTGGCCACTGTAAAGCTATTTTTACTGTAGAAACATTATTGTAATATTTGTAGAGTTTTTTTTAGTAAAGACAAATGCTCAGAAATAAAAGGAGCTTTATTTTATTGTGACACGTACAACGAAATTTCATTTGGAGCCGAGGGCCCCAGGCCGCTGCGTTAATACGCGTCGCCATCACAGGCTACTTGGGGGGGTTCAGTGTCTTGCCCAAGGACACTTTGACATGTGGACCGACATTCGAACCCTCAACCTTCCGGTTGGGAGATGCCTGCTCTACCTACGAGCCTTGTTTTTCAGTTACTGTGAAATTTTCTGCTTTCCAATGACAATATAAAGTTTTGAATATAAAGCTGTGCACTTTGGCCAGCTGACACACACATACACACACACACAGGCTGTCACAGTCATGGCTCTCAGAGGAGCCTTTAACCCTAATTCTTTCCTTGGCCTACTTTGGTTCTCTCTAAGAGAACAGCTCAGCACAGCACCATGGCTGTATCTCATGCATCTTTAGTCATATTGTGCTGTTACACTACATATGTCACACACACATCCTCTCATGCACAAATGCTTGCACAATTGCAGCTTACTTACTGATTCTTTTGTTTTTCCAGCCTGGTCCTCTCAAATACTTGAGAAGCATCATAAACAGCAGTGATGACATTCTCTTCACTGGGCTGTTGTAATTAAGATTCACTATGTGCCACTTGGCTGTAGGGGACAATTTGTCAGCAGCACACTGATCTGACAGCACTTTAATGCTATTGGGGAATTCATTTATATGGGATGTAAAAAATAGACTTAGTGAAATTAAAAAACTAACCTATGACTCCTTTAGTCTAACTTTGAAGGAGTTTTCATGATGATGGTCTGAGCTAGACCATTAAGGGATCATATTGGCTATAGGTTCATTATATGCATGTCCTTATCTGACTGTTGTTGTTTGTTTTGAATCCTAATTCAGTCGCCAGGCTTCCTATAATGACTAGACTGGATCGGACAAAAAAGAAAGATGCATACATATTTATATCTATGTCTTTTATGTTACTACTTCAGAGGGATGTGTGGAAGCCATGATGGCTTTGAAGAAAAAGTCTCAACTTTTGTGTTTTTCAGCAGCCAGAAAGTACATTTCTGCAGGCAGATACTATTCTGCAGTGTTTCATAGTGGCCACACTAAGGCTTCATTACTAAGAATTCAGTTTAAAAGTAGCCCTCAGGCTTTATGGGAAGAGCAGGCCTCTTGAAGACACAATTGAATGTTCAGCTTTGAAAAGTCAAATGTATTTCCATTAATACGTAGCTTCAGAAAGGACCAGTAGAGTGGGCCTTCAAGTGGGGAAGCTAGAGAGTCGCTGTATCTCTGAGGCCTAGTAAGATGAAACTATCGGCTCTGTCAGTGAGTAAATCCTCCTTTAGCTACCCTCTTTCATGTAGTTCATCCAACAAAGTTGTCGGCTGTTGTTAGTCAGACCTGATCGGTTCTGCTCCATCCGCCTCACCATGTACTCTCTCTTTCTTTCCACTCTGTGATTGCTTCTTGTATTACTCTGTGGCACTGCCGATCAATAGATGTCCTCCTTTTATTATGTCATTTGATCTAATCACCTGCAGCGCTGGGTGACACCTGATCACATGGTGTGATAAAGCTGTATTGATCCTGCTGCGTGATTTACATTAGACGTATCACACCGGCCCGGCACCAGCACCGCTGGGTGCCTGGATGTTGGTGGGAAACGTACTTTGCTCAGTGTGGAATGGTGTGTAGGAGTGCCAAGAGAGGAGGAGCACTGGTCTCATTTAGAGACTGTCATCGAGGGGGTTCTGGTCGATGTCTGGATCTGTCCCGTAATGAAATGAGTGAGAAAACAAAAGAAGATTGCATTTAGAGTGGAAGATAAATCGATATCAAGTAGAGAAGTGTTTTGATTACTTTCTCCCAACTTCACTCAAGCATTCAAACATATCAACAACTTTTGAACTTGACGGCATTTTTAAGAAAGATAGAATTCTCTCTAGTCCAGATAGATGATTTATTTTTAATAAAACTCAACTGTATCACGTGCGGTAATTTTAACAAATTATTTTGTGTCTTTTGAAGGATTGTGTGTGAGATGGAAGCAGCTCCTGCAGACAGTAGACCGGGCCCAGTCCAGCTGTGTGTCGGAGAGTGCAGACCAGAACTCAGGGCTCGCTCCTCACAACTCTACTCCTTTGTGGTATGACCGTAATCACACCACATCGCTCCGTATCCTCGTTTAATAAAACTTATGAAGTGATGAACAACAGAGATATGATAAAATGAATCAAAAGATTTAGGTGGTTTGTTCTTTGCTTGATGTGTGTGTTGCCATGCCTGCCTCCACAGTGCAGTTAGCAGCACTGTGTGTGCTTACTTACAGTTACAGCATTCCTGATCTGTGCAGGTCTCTAGTTGTAGATGCTATTTGCCTTTATATAATCTCATACACTGTGTTTAACTTCTGAGTGTTTTCCCAGTTGCGAGTCAGGCTGCTCTTTGTATAATGGATGAAAAAACAATCATCTATTTTATGTTTTTTTTGGTCATGTCTGTGTTTTTGTTATTGAGAGCTATCACAGTGTTTATGTGTCTTACAAATTAGGAAATGAAAATAGCAGAACAAATGTGGTTGGATGTTTGAGCAGGGTCATATGAGAGAGGGAGACTAAGAGACGGATGATAAAACAATGTTCTAAAATAACAGGCGGCACTTCATTTGGTACAGCAGGCAAACGCTGCCGGCTCCCAGTCCTCACACATTCACATGCACATTTCTCTGTCTGCCTAACCCACTGCTAACAGACAGTGTACTTTCCATTTTGCTCTCTATCACACCTTGACAATTAGCACTCCCTTAACAATTAACAGCAGTCAGTAATTACTACCTGCTTTAGCCTTCCTCCTGCAAGTCACACTTAACTGACAGCTTTGAGTTTTGTAGTAAATCTGTGGCTACTTCTTCTCACCAATATTACAGCTGCTATACTGGGAAGCAGTGGAATTCCTCTGGGAAGACTTCACGGAGCCTGGAATTGGCACCACTTGCAATTGCTCTGTGTCACACAAACCTTTAAGAAAAGAGAATAGACCATCACAGATATGTTCTTCAGTTCTCTCGACAAGACGCAGTCCCTGTGTGACTGTCCTTTCAGCCAGCTACAGTGGAGTACTTGGCAGCAGGGCAGCGTAAATGACATGTAGTTGTTTTTAAATTGTTGTTTTATGTTTGTGCACAAAGAGGTGTGTGTGCTTATCTGTGTATGGATGTACTGCTGCATGTGTGTTTCTCCGTATGATGGGCTGTCTGCTTGGATATTTCTCCATCTGTCCGTCTGGCAATGACTTAACCGCCTGCTGCTGTAAACACTGGTTATTTTCAGACTGTCTTTAAAAAAGCTTCACTCAGACACAACCCAGCAGTGCACAACACACAGCAGGAGGATCTCTCAGGGGCCCTAGCTTTATCCCTTTTTCTCCCACCAGCTGATCTCCACCACCATCGGCCTGGCAATATGAATAACTGTAATTTGCTGGAGATTTGTGTTAATACTTGATGGTTTCAAGCAGCATCACAGAGATACCACCATTTTTACTCTTGAAAATATGTCTCTTTTAGTCTGTCTTTTGTTTCTCTTTCTTTCTGCTCCTTTGCTCTACCTTTAATTTGCTCTTTCTGACAATTTGTACCTCTCTTTCTCTGCAATTCTGTGTTTTGCAGACTCCAACAGTCACAGGTGTGTCCCCTAGCAGAGGTCCAGAGTCTGGGGGCACCAAAGTAACAGTAATGGGAGAAAATCTTGGCGCCGGCAGCAGTGTCAGTGTTCAGTTTGGAAACCAGACATGCGAGTTTTTTGGGTGAGACTTCTTCTTCTTGCATCCATTTATACCATAAAAGTGCTATTAGCAGCCTATAAAGTTTAATTTGCTAAAAGAGTCGGCATGATTGAGCTTCGGTTTAACACAGACTGTTCACAGAGAAAGGCTTTTTATTGTACTTGGAAAAATGGAAATATGGAAATGTTCATTTTCAGTAAAGTGCAAATGACAGAATTTTTAATTCTTAAAATGACAATATAATGTGAATATTAGCGAGTGAAGCTAATTTACACTTATGACTAAAAAGTGTAAAAACAAAAAAGTATATAACAGGAACATTTATCTTTGTTTTCTCTTTCTTTTCTTTATATCCTTGTTTGATTCTTTTTTGCATTTGCATTTTGCAGTACCTAGTACAACATTTATGCCTAATACATTTTGATAATATCACAATTCGTTGACTGAGTGTTTCCTAAACTTTTTTGAGCTGCTGCATACATCACTGTCAGAAAGTGTTAGATCTATGGCATGCTGTGGGCAAATGGGAAAAAAGAGCTCTTGTTCCCAAGATGATGTGGATTATTTCCATTAAATAAGCTGCTATATCTCACAGCTTTCTTGGACTTTTTCCCCTCGATATTACTGAGAGCCCCCCAGGGCAAAGCCCCTCTCTCTCCCTCTGTCAAAAACTTGTGTAAATCTTAATAAGGTTTTGATGACCTACTGCATCAAACCATGTAATAATAGCTTCCAGACAAACCTAATGCTCCTATAGATCTTTGTTCTTTTTCACCCGCCCCCCTCCATCTCATTCTTGCTTTCTATCAATCTGTTCATCTGTTCTGACACCCCTGGTTTTTTAATTCTCTCGTCTCTCACTCTCACAGTTTTCTTCGCTCTCACTCCACCCATCCTTCCTTCCCTCTCTCGGTTGCTCCCACTTGCCCTCCTTCTACTTTCCACTCCTGTGAGCAGCTATTTTAAGCCTCTGCCACAGTAGCCTGACTGTAATGTTGTAAGGTTGAGGAGTCAAGCCAGCTCTAATGAGATATGGAGCTAATTACTCGTTTGTGTTTCTCCACTGTGTTCCCGGCATGGGAGAGAGACGAGGACGGGCCGGTTGTTCTACTAACAGCTCGCCTCTGCTAATGAATTGGGACACATTCAGGGGTTTGGCAGGTAGAACATGGAGGAGGAGGCTCATACTATACAGCAGTAATGGGGGTAGTGTTCATCTGTTTGTGTGCACATACTTGTGCATTGAGCCATGTGAGCTTGTGTGTCTTCAAGTCTGGATCAGAGAAGTTGTAGAAAAACCTGAGAAAGTCCATGTTTGAGGTTCTGTATTACAAATGTCTTACAAGTAGCTATTTGAGTTCTTATTTCTTTTTATCATGGAGAGGCAGGTGTGTTCTGCCATGTTCAAGTCAGACAATTAGGGAACAGTGCTGGTAGTACAAAACACATAATAATCAGTTGTTTTACTACAAGTGGTGTTTTTTGATCATCTAAATAGAACCTTTACATATTGTTCAGAAAAAAAGTGAAAAATCATGCATTTAATCTCATTTGAAGTGATATTTCAGGTAACATTTGAGAGGGCATCTTTAGTCTGACTTTTCAAACCGTGCAGATACTTGATGCATCCATGTCGTTTTTCTTTACAGGCACCTATGAGGATTTTAATCATTTTATGAATGTGGGCATTCTGCTTCACTTGTAGACGGACCATGACGGAGATAGTGTGCTACTCTGCCCCGTCTCTGTCTGGTGTTGGCCCAGTGCAGATCAGTGTGAGTGTGGATCATGCCCAGATCAGGGAGAGCCTCACTTTTGACTACATAGAAGACCCCACCGTCCAGCGCATTGAACCAGATTGGAGCATTGCGAGGTAAAGTCATAACACTTGTCATATGGGAAGCACACAGCATCATATACACTCAGACTGTACATGTGAGATGTTATTTTATTCATACCCTTTCAGCCAAGCATCTATCAAACAGACAAGGGCTTTAAAGAGCTTTAAAGTCCGATGCAAGTCAATATTACCCTTTCAATTAATGTTCAGTTCTCTTCCAATTAGTCTGGGTCTGATAGAACTGCCACAGCTCACAGATTGGAGAGGACAGTCACTGGTGAGACTGAGATTCTCCTGCAGAACCCAGTGTTGACCCATCTGTTGAGCATATTTGGCAGATCAATAGACATACACCATACACTATTAATTAAAAGGAAAAGAGGGATGAAATGAAATGGTGGCTTAGTAAAACAGTGTGCTATCAGAGGTGTGAACCTGCAGCAGTCGCTATGGGCCTAGAGACAGAGTGCAGGGACACTGCAGAAGAAGTGTGGTGGCACAAAGGGAAAGGAAGGTGGAAATGAAGCAAGACAGGGATACAGAAGGACATAATACTGGTCATCTTTGCTTACAACAGTTCTTTTGTACATAGGACAAGAGAAGACCTTTAGTAGTAGTTTGCTGATATAGCTCATTCTTATTTAACCAACACAATGTGTCTTCTTAGAAACCGGGAGTCTACGTAGATAGAGTATTTAGACGTAGAGAGAGCAAGAGTGGTCAGTCTTATCTCCAAAGCAGCTAAGCATATAATTTAATGGGCCTATAGACAGCACAAGGTCCATCTACAGTAACTCGTCCACATTATTACACTGAACCTAAGGTCTTAGTTTAATTTATTTGACCCAAGCAAACCAGAAAAAAACACATACTTATGCACATACAGTGCACACTGTGTATGCATACTGCACATACATATTACTGGGCCAAAAGGCAGAGGCAGAGACTACTGCTTTTTGCACTAATCGCACTAAAACTAATACATTTACTATTACAACATTTATTACTGCAACAATTCCTGTTTGGCATTTTTTCTTCATCATGCAACACTGACGGGCGCAAAAAAATAAATAGCTAAACCAGCAGCAGCCCAAACAGCTGCAGGGAGAGCCACACTTCTAACAGTTTTCCTCCTGCTTTGTGCCGCTGTGCTATCAAGCCCAGAACTACCACTGCATCCTTATGTGCTTGAGCGGCCTTGGTATTTCAAACACAGCTGATTGTAGTCAGTGAGGTCAGTTATGTCTAATCATCCTGCTGTCCAAAGGCTATTGTCTCCCAAAAGAAACTGGGGATAAGAGTTGATTTTAAGTACAGCAGGGTTAGAAAGTTTACTTGAGAATGTGCCTTTGGACTTCTTTCTCTTTTTGTTTCTGTTACTTTCCTTCTCTCAATTTTTTATTACTTTGTGAAAAAAGATAAGACAGGAACAAATTTAAAAAGTTATTTGAGGAGCATGCTTATTCAAATCTGTGGAACAAATTGTGTGCACTTGACTTTTTCTTCAGTGGCCACACCCCTCTGATGGTGACAGGGACCAACCTGGACGTGGTTCAAGAGCCCAGGATCCGAGTCAAGTACGCTGGCCGAGAGTCTGTCAATGTAAGAACCACTATGATGTCTTAACCACAAAACTAGTGTTGTACAGAATGTGCACCAGAAAATGCTCCTGGGTGCTCGACTCACTAAATACTGTTGTATAAACAAGCTAAGTGATGTTTAGCTTGGGTAAAAAAGTGCTGTCTCCCCCAACTGCCCGCCCAGCTCCCTGTGCTTCCTTAACTTCCACGTTTACCCAGTCGTCTCAAGCGCTCAATCCAACATCTGAATAATGCAGATAACAGTGAGAGTGGTCTACATGCACTATTTAACAGAGTTTGCTCTAAATTTTCTTCAGGTTAAATCTCAGCCCCTACCTCATACATCCTAAACAACATTTTCACAATAAGATTTTCAAACTATGTACACATACTTTTGCAGTAACCGGATGGAGGACAGGGGAGTTGGAGGGCGGGTGTGTGTGGGTCAGTGGGGGTAATGTTGGAGGTGGGCATGATCCGGGGCAAGGAGACTCCTAATGGCTTTCAATGGAAGATTAACTGCGGTCAAAAATCTTTGGTCAGCACAAAAAGGCCTTGTATAATCAAAGTCTCGACTGTGGGAAATCGTTACAAATTGCATTTGAGCTGATGTCCTGGGGGGTCTATGTTTAATTAAGAGGATGGGATTTTCTCTCAGCAGTGCGGGGAAAGGTGCGGGGGGCAGATGAATGGACTAAAGGGGAGAGGGGAGTAGGAAGGATAGAGAGTGAGAGAAATCAGGAAGGGGAACAGATATTGCCAAGTTTTTCCACAGAACTTTTTAGAGGAAGATGGGGGCAGATGAATGGACTAAAGGGGAGAGGGGAGTAGGAAGGATAGAGAGTGAGAGAAATCAGGAAGGGGAACAGATATTGCCAAGTTTTTCCACAGAACTTTTTAGAGGAAGATGTTCTTTATTCTAACCCCCGTAATCAGCATCACAACCCACCGTATACTGCCATCCACTGCTCTAATATATGGTAAAAGCTCCCATTTGCAAAGATATGTGGCAATTTAGCACCTAAATCTCACGCTGCATTCAGAGAAACTCAGAGGAAGGAAGCACAATGAAAAACCTCACCTCAGTTTTAGAATTTGACAAAGACATATCCCAGAATGCCTCTTCCCCCTCTGCAATTTCAACTTTTTAGTAGTCTGAAATTGGCCTTAAGTGTCTCACATTCTTAGTCAGTGTTCATGTTTTAAAAACCATTACCCTGCCTTGGGCTTGTGCTACAATGTTTCCCTTTGTAACTTATGAAAGAGCAGAAGTAAAAGACAGGTCTCTGCTGTTTTAGGATTGGAGAAGAGAAAAACGCTGGATGATTGAGAGAGTTATGGAGACCCGGTAAAATGGGATTTGACTCATGTGTGGGTGTCCTGCTGTCTGATTTGTCAGTTTCCACAGCTTTGAAAGAGAGTTGTTCATCTCCACCCAGCCTCGTCTCTTCCAGCTCCCCACCTAGCACCTCTCAAACGAAGCCCATGTCACCGGCTTGATTGCCCCCACAGTCACAGAGAACGAATTTCTATTAAATGCTAAGGTTACAATTATCCATCCTTCATCCCATCTCCCCCTCTCCAGCCCCTTCCCCTTTTGTCACTGCAGGAAGGCAAACAGCAGAGCAGCCTATAGCAATAAGAGCCACTGTCTGTCAGCCAGCCTTCAAATGATCACCTGTCTCACTCTAAATTGCTTCTCTTCTCTCCCTCCCTTGTGTCACCGGCGCGGTTTTCACAAAGAAAGTGGGACACACATGAAAAAAAGAGACAATTTTCTTTGTGAAATGCTCTGTATCTGTCACCAGACTCACAATTGAAACATTTATCATAATCTTGATTAAAGCTAAATGGGTTATTTTCCAGCTCTGGAACATTTCCCTGTCTCAGAGAGATTTCATCTACCACATTTGCCACACTTAAGATGCCCAGACTGAGTGTCAGGCTTGCCGTGTCAGGTGCATTTGCAGCTGCTGCTCATCACAGAAAGTGTTCAGCATGAGTGTGCTAAGCTCCTGTCACTTCTAGGCCAATCAGGCTGATTGTCTGAGCACTAGAGGAGGATGCCGATCAATTCCAAAAGCAATAATGGGATGGATAATGGACACTCACAACTTACAATTGACAACAATTTGCATGCTCGTAAGAATTCAGTATTGTAAACCATATGCCAGAGTATAACAATGGCACACATGTCAAACAGTTTCAGCACCATGAGTGGCTCATTTAATCATCACAGAATCTTGAATGTTCAAAATCTACGCTGTTTCCTTTTCAGCGTGTCTGTTGTGTAGGTTTGGTTTTGATTTTAAAAGACGAAAAGCCACCTCTTAATGCGTGAAGCAGCACTCACCAAGAATGTTTGAAATTAGTGATATGCTCTTCCTGCAGATGATTTTTTCACTTCCATCTTAGAGGAACATAAAACTACTGGCTGTGGCTCCACAGTAACCACACGGTCCTTGTATGGATGAATCAGAGCTGAAGTTAGAATTAATGCCAGTGTTAGCAGTTGGTCAGAACAGCGCACAGGCAGGAAAACAGACACAGTGTAGGAGTAACAAAATACAGGAACAGCAGAACGGCCAGTGACTAGCTACTGAATGTTAGCCTACGGGTGACCTTTCACTCCGCGACCCCTCCCGCACTTCACCTACACACATCTGTAGCCAGGCTATCTTATCCCTTGTTCCTCTCTTGCCCCCTCACAGCCATCTCTCTCTCACTACTGCCCTGACCAGAGACCTCTGAATGCTTGAGTGGGCTGTAGCAGCACAGTAGATCATGGTAATGTATTCAGCCAGAGGGGTCAGAGTATTACTGCCTTAAAACACCCTGACTCTATCCAACACTAGACAAAGAAGACAGATGAGGCCAAGATTCCAATTATTTTCTCTATCTGTTGACCTCAATTCAATTTATCAATGCTGAACAATGTGTTTCTTCTTTCTCCACATGGCCTAAAGGAAAGGATGCAACCTGCTTTTACAGTATATACTCTGTATTTGGCAATACAAAATCCTTTTGGAGTGTAAAAAAGCATTCATTAAAAACATACTTAATATTCATCTGTTGATAGGCAGAAGTCACACAAAGGTGCCACAGTGTTCTTTTACTGCCCTACCTGCAGTAGAACCTTTTCTTTATCAGATCCCACAGTGTCCCATTTACCCATTGCTATTTACTCGCTCATCACTTTAGATTTACATACATCACACTCTGTGCCACACAGGCTAAAAACTATCCTACATGATGACAGCAGTTTTTATCCTGACAGGATTCAATGAGGAGAAGGATTTATTTTAAAAAAAGAGAGAGAAAAGGGGATAGAAAGTGAGGACAGTTTAGAAAAAACCCCACAGTATCCATCTCAGACAGAGCAGATGGTAGTCAGAGCTGTAGTTGACTTGCAAATGCCTCACCGTTCCAGCGTGACAGTCACAAGGATGCTACCGGAGCATCTGGGCCTGCCTGTCACTTGTCACCATGCCAACAGTAGGAAAGCAGCCATATCAAACTTAACTTGAACTCTTTAATCCATTAAACCTTTTAATTTCCATATGCTGATCAGAAGAACGTAACGTAAGATGATCTATTCCTATACACTGAATATATATTATGAGAAACAAAAAAAAAAGATTCATTCCTCATTCAATCATTTCTACAAAGCAGTGTGTCACTGTAATAGTGTGAACAATGAGGTTACCACACATTGTTTTACTTGTGACTTTGTTAAAAGTATGGCTTTTATACATGGATGCTTGATTTTAGGAACAGATGTTTTTCAGATTTTATTAGTTGCTTCTAGCTTATAGTGAAGTGTGAGCCCGTGCATTGTAAAGCTTCTAAAACATTTTCAGAAACTCGCATCACTCTCATTAGTGGTTAATGTGATTTCACAGAGCCTCGACTTGATGAAAGTATGTCAGGAGCTCTATCTGGTTGTGCTTTCTATTTTTAAAAAAGCTTATCTTCTCGCTCTTGTCATATGCTGCCACTGTAGCTTGTAAAGTGAGAATTCTATAGAAAAATGTGACGAGACCACGGAGAGAATTCAGGCCTTGTAGTGCAGCTACAGACTGGAGGAGCTTTTGGATGTAGGCAGTGTGTTTGTTTGACAATTGTAATATTTGAATCATGTTTTTTCACCCATAAACCTGGGTTTCTGGCTTACTTAAAAACACCATAAATCATATGGAGCTGAAACGATAATCTGATTAATCAATTCATCACTTAATCAATTCATCATCAGAAGATTAATCACCCTATTTATTAATCAAAAAAACAAAACCTAGCTTACCTAGATATATGGATTTGTTATCTCACTGTTGTAAGAGGAATATATTTGTCTTTTGGGTTGTTGGTTAGATAAAACTTGACATTGTCACCTGTTTGTAGAAATGATATCAGCTATGTTCAGTGTTTTTTGACATTTAACTGACTAAATGATTAATTGAAATTAATAATAATAATTAAAATGCCCTGTAGTTGCAGCCTGACACATTACACACGGTCTATTCAAGTTTGTGAATCATACACACATTCAACGGGACCTCTGCGCTCACACCCCAACAACTCACTTTACCCCATGCTGGCAATGTGGTGGTGTAGCTCTCACAGAATACGTTTGCATTCATCTCGCTGGCTTGCTCCCGAGCAGCAGACAACAGGTAGGAGGCGTGATAGTCGCTAGCATTCACCAGCTTTGATGATATTTACCTCTAATTAAGTTTCTTCCCTGGAGAAAGAGCTAGGAGAGAGTGAAGAGAGATAAAAAACCTCTCTGAGCAGAGGGCTGTGCAGCAATCAATCCTCTCTCCCCTTCTCTCTAGAGCTGAGGCAGGGAGGATGGATGGAAGACAGGTCTCTCATCTGGGCAAACTGGGGAGAAGTAATAAAAGAGCCATAGCTCAACCTCTACCTTAGGAGGAGCAATGCTGCCATTCTTTGTGGTTGTTGTCCTCTAGTGTTTTTCAGTAAAATAGAAGCAGCAATTTATTTTTGATTTCACGGGGGCCTCCTCTCCAATAAGGATGGAATTAATGACAGCCTATAAATTTTTTCTGAGGAAGAATGAGGATTTTATATACCAATTATTAGGCTGGTCACCTCCCTGCAGGGTTCATGTTGATACCATTGTGTGTCAGGTAAGATCATACTTTAGGTTATAATAAAAGGGCTTCTGCTGTGATTAGCATGGGAGGGGTGGGGAGTTACCACTCCTCCTGCGGAATCCCTATCAAGAGATTTCGGAAGCACAATTTTTAATTTGGGGAGGTGACAGTGGTGCTGTGAGTAGAGCAGTCGTCTCCCAACCAGAAGGTTGAAGGTTCAAATCTCGGTGCCTGCAGTCCATGTGTTGAAGTGTCTTTGGGCAAGACACTGAGCACCCCCAACCCCATTGGTTGAGTTGGCACTACAGATAGCTGCCATCGGTTCTGTACCAGAAGCAAATTCCTTGTGTGTGACATACTTGGCCAATAAAGGTGATTATCCAAACAGAAGGTTTTCTGACAGGTCTGCTTGGAACTTGTATGTGTTGTGTTTTAGAGCCAGTGAAAAAGAAAACCAAGCGTTTGAGCTGTACTAAACTGTTTCAGTTAATCTTGGATGACTACATTGTTTCATTTCAGGGTGCTCAGGCTATTATAGCCTCTCTCTGTGCAACACATCCCCTAATAGCATCTCTCAGAGTGGATTTTCTCCATAACACACATTTCTGTCCTGTATCTTTACTTCCTAGGTGTGCAAAGTAATAAACACTACCAGTATGAGCTGCTTCGCTCCCTCCCTGATGGCAGAGTACCATCCAGGTCTGGACACCGTAAAGCACGCAGACGAGTTTGGGTTCATCTTCAACAACGTGCAGGCACTTCTGGTCTATAACAACACCAACCTCCTCTACTACCCAAACCCTTACTTTGAGCCACTCAGCACCACCGGTGTCCTGGAGCAAAAACCAGGCTCACCCATCATTCTCAAGGTACAGGAAATACTGACTAGTATGCATTTAATTCCACAGAACTGGTTTAATCCCCAAAGCAAACCTGCCACAGTGTTTTTAGGCAAGATGTTGAATTCACTTCTTGCTTGATCTGAATATGAGCAACAGCTAGTGCTGTCAAAACTGGCCAAAAATTATGTTTGATCATTTGTCCTAAACAATTTGTCCTAACCATGGAACCATCTATTTTGGCACAAACTAACACAATGAGAGACATTATTACTTGTAAATGTGTATCCATTATAACACAAATGTTTTTTAAAGATTGACACACCTGCACATTCTGCAACTAGGGATATGGTACTGTGGTTTCATTTCCTGACAGAACAGTCTGAAGCCTGTCCATTCAACTATACTGATTGCCATCGTGTCCTTGCATATGAACGTGGCTGTTTGGCTGGAGCTCAAGCTGCCAGGCCGTGCTCATTTTGGTGCATATTTTTGAGATGTGCCCTCAGGTTGCTAGTGGTGGAATGGAAGGCTAACTCAAGCTCACATAGCTTACACACAGTGTTATCTCGAGGTTCCACAGTTTTGCAATCTCCTGACCAAAGTCCAGAGTATTTCAAAACGGGGCTTGTAAGGTTGTTTGGAGTGCAAATCACTCTCTCTGCAGCTATGGTGAGTTGTGAACTCTGTGCCATCATTACTACATGATGTAACGCTGTGTGTGACTCCTGTCTGTCACCCAGTGCATTCAGTGAGGTGGCCCAGGCTCATGTGAGAACAGCCATGGTGCTTTTTTTTAACAATTGAATATTAATTTTCACAATCAAATGTCTGTTTCGTTTTACTATTCGAATATATTTTATTCTTAACTGTTCCCACTTACTGTCAGGGTGAAATATATCACTTTCTTTGAGCTCAGCATGAAACCATATAAGCCCCAGCTGTACCCAAACCAAGGCATCTAATTTACAGTGTATTTAGGTGACATATTGTCCTCGTGGGTTGTAAAAATGATCTGATCTTCACTGAGCCACAAGTTTGTGTCTGACTTTTTCTACTGATCTCACACCCTTCTGTTCATCTCCACATGCCCACAGGGCAGAAACCTGGTTCCCCCAGCATCAGGAGGGGTGAAGCTTAACTACACGGTACTGATCGGAGAGACCCCCTGCTCTGTCACTGTGTCTGAGAGCCAGTTGCTCTGTGAACCACCCAATCTCACTGGACAATACAAAGTCATGGTCAGTATGGGGAATTGTTGGCCTGGTGTTTCTTAGTGTCTCTCTTCCTTAATTTCTCTCCCAGTGTGTTTCTGTCTGTCCCTGTATTTGTGATTTCTTCTTCATAACAGTTGGCCTCCAAACTCTTTTATTTGTGAGCTCATCATTGTACATTCAGCTAAAGTAAAGGGGTCAAAGGGAGAACACCACGAGTGTGCTCTAGCTGTCAAAAGATTCTGCCAGAGCACACTGCAATTATTTTTAGTTGCCTGTTCGCTTATTGGGTGCAAGCCCTAGACTATTTTGCTCTCAGTGTCAGTGTGTAGGTGGCTTCATGTGTTTGCGCTCAGTATCAGTTTCACCAGTGTTTAACAATATTGTCACAGGATATGTTTGCAGACCTTGGTTTAAAAATTGTTGTATATCATTTATCATATTTTATATATGTGATAGGTCCATTAATCCAATGTTTTTGAAATATGCATAAATTATGCATCTCACCTTTGTGTTTCAGTTTTAACGATCTTCTAAACTATATAGTGGGGAGTGGTACATTTTATACAATATAAATAACAAAAGATAAAGTGTGGGTATGTGTCTCTGTGCAGGTTCAGGTAGGTGGTCTCCATGTCTCTCCTGGTGCGGTCCACATCATGTCGGACAGCCTGCTAACACTTCCAGCCATCATCAGCATCGCCGCTGGTGGAGGCCTCCTCCTCATCATCGTCATCCTCGTCCTCATTGCCTACAAGCGGAAGTCACGTGAAAATGATCTTACCTTGAAGCGCTTGCAGATGCAAATGGACAACCTGGAGTCACGAGTTGCCCTAGAGTGCAAAGAAGGTTAGTAATAGGACAGGAAAGTCAGCCTGCAGACCAAGTGCAGAACTTTGTAGGAGTCTACTGCTTGACTTCAGATTGTAGAGTGAGGGTGATTATGGGTCTACTTTCCTTGGAATATCAATGTACAGGCTGTGGTTTTAGAAGCTGCTCTGTCACTTTTGTAGTTGAATGGGGCTGATAAATGTGTTTCACTTGTTCGGGATGTCATCACATAACAGGCAAAATCTGCCTTTGTGCACATATTACAAGTAAATACATTTCTGGTGGTCTTTGTGTTAAATAAGGCAGTGAAAATGTCTCCAAATCTCAGCCAGTGAGTCATCTTGGTTATATATTACAACACACAGAATCAGTCGGTTGGCTATGCACATGTCCCATCTCATAATATAGAGAACCTTTGCAGTTCTTGCTAAATTCTAGCAAGAATTGCTAGCCCCAGCATGGTAGTGCAGTGGTTAGCATTGTTGCTTCACATCAAGAAGTTTTCAGATTTGAACCTCATGACTAACCTCGTGGTCTTTCTGTGTGGAAGTTGCATGCTATCCCTATACCTTTGTGGAATTTTCTCTGGATACCCCAGCTCTGCCTCTGGCAGTCCACAGACATGCAGGTTAGATTAATTGGGAGAGTAAATTGCCCATAGGTGTGAGTGTGAGTGGTTGTCTGTCTCTATGTGTCAGCCCTGTGATAGAGTGGTGACCTGTCCAGGGTGTACCCCGCCTCTCGCCTGTGGCGTAGATAATAGATGGATGCTTTATACAAACCTGCACATAAGCTGGCATAGGAATACAAAGGTTCTCATTACGAATAGTCTTAATGAGCATTTTATTCATGTCTTAATTGCAGGGCCAATTCCAAATTTATGTTTTTTAAGCATTTCGAAAGATGTCAGTTACCTAACACGCAACTGCTTTGAACCACATTCCTCCCTTGCGGTTCAGGGTTAATAAAGGGCACACTAATCCATCTGACCTTTGACCTTCTACCCAGTGGGAGGACCACAGATAACCTCAGGCTGACCTCCAGTCTAAACAGCAATTTACCAAGACTGCTTTATGTCGCTGAAGTCAGTTCCACATGAATGCTTTTACGTAAACACTGCAGATTGGCCCCTTATGTCATCATCAAAGTCATTGCAGCCTATCAGTGAGATGGCAAAAGTGAAGTTTGTGTTTGACAGCGCTTAGGGGATTTCAACAGCCAGAGAAGACCTTATTACAGCCACCCCTGATCAGCTCTCCCGGTGTTATTAAGCAGTGGAAAAAACATCTTATTCTACAAACTTCTGGCATGGTCAAATGATGGACAGTTAGACAGACAGGTGGGCAGATAGACAGAGAAGGCAAAATAAGGGGAATCAGTCACGCACAGACAGCCTGGGGAAAGGAGAAGATTAATGTTTTAACCATTAGCAGTGGCCAGGAGTGTACTGCCCCGCAGGGTGGATTTAGATGGGTTCCTTGGTTCCTCTTTATTACTATATACTGTACACTCCATGTGTGCCTGTAAGCCCATGCGTTAGTGTGTAAACCCAGGAATCGCAGGGGGGCTAGGGGCCAGGAGGCGAGGGTTAAGACTAGCTGGAGATGGGAGAGTTTTAGGAGGGTGTTAGGGGACTGCTGCTGCTCTTGTGATAGGCTGCAGACAGGGAGCCTCCCTAAGGGCGGCAAAGCAAAGCAACAGAGCTGAGGGCCTGAACAGGACTCAGTCAGGATGGAGCCAATTAACTAGTGCTCACCTGCAGCCTCACACTGAGATGGCACACACTCTTTGGGGCCTTAGCTACAGCCAATTTACTGGCTGGTAGATTAAAAGTGTATGTGTGTGGGGTGAGGTGGGGGTGGGGGGAGTTGCTGAGCAAGCTCTATATTTTGTAAAGGAGAAATGTGAAATATTGAGTTTTTCTGGCATGAGGACTGTCTTGGGCTTTAGCTGTCAGCTTCATCATGATGATAGTAAACACCCTGAAGAAGAGGAGGATTCACATATTGTCCTTGGGGATTAAAGAACAGTTTTATTCTCATGCTGCATGTCTCAAGTATTCCGTCCAACTGGCCACTCTGTTTTGTCTTCCTTTTCTCTCAGCCTTTGCCGAGCTACAGACAGACATCAATGAGCTGACCAGTGACCTGGACAGAGCTGGTATCCCCCATCTGGATTACAGGACTTACGCCATGAGGGTCCTCTTCCCCGGCATAGAGGATCATCCTGTCCTCAGAGAACTGGAGGTAGTGAGAGACAGAAAGGAGAGAACGAGAGAGAGTG